GTTTTGTATTATTCAAAGAATATCCTTTAATTTAATAGAAATATCTATATGGTGTATGTGTTCCATTAGGAAATATTTTTTAATTATTAATTATCAACTATTTATGGGATAACAGGACGACCATATCGTGGGTCCTCTGTTTTCTGTAAATAATTAAGTACTGCATATTTAATGATAAATCTTTACTTTACAAATATGTATTGGTTTTAATACAGGAATCTAAAAATGGACCAGTTATTTTCTTTAATTCAAACTAGGGGAAAAATGTTGTGATTTTTTTTAATGGAATCATCAACAAAATCTAGACAACATTATAATATTTAGTATCTCCAAAAGTTTAGCGTTTTATTTTAATTTTCCTACGTGATTTCAAATAGACTCGGAATAACCAGGACATATTCTACCAATAATGGTAGAATATATTTCATATTCATAGAAAAAAAAATTAAACAGGTTAGTGGAGTGACAATATAAGATTTTATATATTCCAGATATAATCCGAGAATATTCTGGGAATCTTTATTATAGCAGGAATTTGCTTGGTATTTTTAACGCTGTTGGGTTTCCTGCGTGGCTTTTTGGGCTTTTCAATTTGTTATAGTAACCATTTTTTCAAAAAATGTATGACGTTTCCATAATTTGCAAAATATTGTTACTAAATGGAGAAAAATACACATAAAGTATAGGTACTTATTTAAAAACAATTGGATGTCCTAGGAAGGAAACAATATCTCTGCTTTCTCTCAGTGTTGTCGTCGAATTTGAGAAGAACAAATCCACACTTCTCCTCCGCAAATATATTAAAAATTAGCAATCAGATATTCTCTGCAGCAGAATTTTAGAGGGCCAGTTGAGGGCATCGATAAGTTGCATTTTTCGTTCTTCAAGTACCTGCCTGAAAGTTTATTGGACAACGAAAATTTTCTTTTTCGCCTAGTAAAGATCCGACATTAAGATATTTCGTTCTCGTTCGCACGCTTCGAGGTGGTTTAAAGTTAAACACCCAATCTTTTGTGTCTACGGTGACGATTGCGCTGCCCCGAGACAGAAAGAGGAAGACGGAGTGTGAGAAAAAGGGGAAGGAAACGCCAATGTGTGGTTTCATTCGGCTTATGACTCGCCGACTTTTACGCGCCGGGATTATTGTGAAACTCTTTTAATTTTGAGGAAAATAAATTTCGAAACGGCAACCGCACCTCCATCCTTTACGAAGCACGAGAATTAAGCCGTATTATTCGTCTGCCGATTTAGACGAAGAAAAGTAATTTTTTATTTCGTGGTCGCTCCTTCCTCAGGCGAGCACAAGTGTATCTAATTATGTAAATTGCATGCGGTGCATGCAATGGTTTGAGTATTTTTGGTGCTTCGTCTACGCTTGAACGCACTCATCTGGTTAAGTTTCAACGGGTAGAGCATAAAATAGGCCATGTTTGCTTTTATTGTGTGCAGATTACATATTTCGGATCACAAATTTGGGTGGCCTATTCGTCAATGCAACCTACAGGGCGTATTGTGACTCCGCAGGTTGCATAATTGCTCCATTTTTACGTGCTTCTAAATGGACTTCCTCTGTCGGCGAAAAATATTAAAGATTTTTCTCTGGATTTCCATGAAGACACCACCGCTGATTTATTTGAAAGTTGGTTTAAAAACAAACTAGTTCCAAACATTCCTCCTAATAGCGTAATGTAACAATCCAAAACTACATGTATAATAACGACATTTATTTTCACGAAGATTATACGAAAAAGCAATTAATTGAGGTTCTACAAAGCTTGAACCTACAATAGAAATACGTCTGTGACAATTATGCAAAAAATCTAGGGTATACAGTTTTAAGGCTTTCACCTTACCACTGTATATTTAATCCCATTGAGCATGTTTGGCACCAACTGAAATCTGCCATTCGTCGAAACAATGTTTTTCCCCGTGTTAACTCCAATGTCCTCAAACTTATAGAAACCGAAGTTTTGAACATCCCTCCACAAAGTTGGGCAAATTCTGTTAAACATATACAAGAAGCAGAACAATCGTATATCCATATTGCAAATAATATAGAACAACTAATAATTAGAACAGGCGATGATAGCGATAGTGATACTGACATATTATGTGAATAATTTTAAGTAATTTAAGTAGGTAATAAAAATAATTTGTAATTTTATTTTAGATTTAAACATAAATACATACATAAATAAATAGATATTGTTTAGTATCTTTCCTAACAAAACCCCAAATAATTAAATTCTAAGCAAAGTACGGACCTGTTCTGCCATATTTCATTCTTACAGCTTGTCCGGACCTTTCCTTAATTCGTATCAGTTAGTCGCTTCCTTATATCCATGAACAGACTTTACTAGGATGGGCAGATCCTATGATAAGAACTTGGCGTGCGTCGAATATTTTATTTGTTTCCCTGCCAACATTACTAGCATTTCTTGACGCTGGCGTTTGCGATCTACTCCGTAGCCGTATAGTTTTGATGTGGATAATAATATTTTCCCGAATGCGGGTTTAAACTATTTTCACAACCGCTTCAGCGATATGTACCGAATGTTATTCGGGCGTTTGCATGCGTGATTTTCGCAATATTAGGCAATATAAAGTTAAGGAAACAATAAAACTAGGAAACTAACCCAAACCTAAATACTTTCGCGTCGGTCAAAATGGCGGAAAGTTTCGTCGACGACAATACGGGAGTATTTATAGTCCCGTTTCTCGGAGTTGTAAAGCCATTATCTGGGAATAGTTTAGAATAATATACGTGACACGTACTAGAGACGAATATATTATATCATACGAGTGCTGTTTGTTATGCAGACGGCGTAGTAAAGGTATTAAATGGGAAAATGGCATAAACGAGGCCATTGTTTCTTAGCGGATTGGGCTCACTTCGATCCTTAATTCGCGAATTTTGTCGACTATTAATTCCATATTTAAATGGTGTTCCACAACTTCGGGAGCTACGATGCTCACTTTTTTATCAATGAAGCCCCGATTCAATTAATCTTATCTTATGTTAACGTATTCAATAGTATTATGCAAACTAAGCCACTGTTGTGAAGCTAACGATGTTATTTATAGAAAACAGATCTATTTTGAGCGGAGATTATATTGTCAGGGCTTTGACAGTGTTATAGATTGCTCTTTATTTTATATTAAAAAAATTAACATTGATTGGTCCGAAAAACAATATTACTCTTCCACGTCAAAACAAGGAAAAAAATTTGGGGTTACTTTTATATACAAAACTTCGCTTTGAAAAGCATATCTCGACTCGTACGCAAAGGGCTATTGGCCGTTTAAAACGGTTGTATAGCTCAAGGCATATTCTAACTCGAAATCTCAAAAAAACCTTATGCGATGCTCTTGTTCTCTTCGTGTTTAATCACTGTGATGTCGTATATGGGCCTTGTTTGACAGCTAATTCGTCACAACGTATTGAAAAAATTCAAAAATGCTGCTTGAGGTTTATTTACGGCATCCGCCGCGGAAGACCTATCAGCTACAAGCTGAAGGAAGCGGGTTGGACGAACATGAAGACGCGGCGATTGATCCATCGCTGTTGTCTTTATTTCAGACAAAATATTCCCAATACCTCTCCGAAAAAATAACTTTTAGAACAGACGTGAATAACTTGAATCTAAGATTTAAAGGGGTCATAGTTCCTCGTCACCGATCTGGTATATGTGAAGGATCCTTCAGTTACGACTTGGCTGAACTATACTATGACCTGCCCCATTCCGTTTAGAATGCGACAATAAATTCTTTTCTAAATAAACTAAAAACGTGGTTATATTCTAGAATTTAAACAGAAAAAAAATGAAAAAAAAAAACATTGAGAAGTTACAGAATGCAGGAAGAATCAAACCAATGTGCACTGCTAGAATTCTTTAAAAATTTGTGGTACTTACAGTACTTTAGCCTCGACTTTAGCTAATAGTTTTTTTATTTACAGAGGTAGGTTTAGGTTTTTCTTTCTGTTATTTAATTAAATGGATACTTAACGCAATTGTAAACATTAACTAAAATCATGCTGTGACGTATGTGTAAGGATAAGTGTAGAAATCAGCAAGCAGATACGTCTGGGCCCTGCACTCTTGCTTTTTCTTGTAATTTTCCTTGTCGAAATTACCCGAATAAAGTATATTATTATTATTATTATATTAATCTTACCGGCAGGTGATAAGCCCACTGCACATTGTTATGGGAATACAATTGAATTTGAGAATTTGCATTTTTGAATTTGAATTTGAAATTTGGGGTACGTGATGATGATTGGGGTCTTTTAGAGTTAGTGGCGGGTGTAGTAAAAACTCACAAGTCAGTTATAAACAGGAGTGCTAAAAGAATCCGTTGGCTCAATCGACACCAGAGTTTCATTACTCAACCACGGTTGAATATAATCTAAGGCTGAGTGTCAGTAGCTCCTTTATATTGTAAATGCGGCATCCTATCTAATGTATGTGTATTTTGTATAGAAAGACATCGCGTCGCTAATTGGGTTTGTCGTATGTGTAAATTGTTAGTAGTGTTAGAAATCAAGGCAGTTCATAGAGTGCCAATACCCTGATAGCGAAGGTCATTAAATTTCGTACGTTGATTTCTTTATGACTTTGGACCAGTGATTCTGTGATGGTAAAATTTAAACCGAAATGACGTCAAATGCTATTAAAGGGTACGGAAGAAAACATTTTTGAGCTTCGAGGACTGGTTTGGTGCACCAAGTGACCCAAAATTTGAAAAACAAAATGCACCACATCAACTAAAAATCAAAGAACCAAACGAATCATAAGCATCGAAGTTAGGGAGCTCCATTAATTCGGCGACCCGAACAATCTTAATCTTTTATCTATTATCAGCCGATACTATGTACTTTGTAGTTTGAACAAAACACGACGCGGAACGTAGCGCAGGCGTCCGTGTAGATCGTCGTAAAGGACGCCCGAATCTGGATTTCAGTTACAAGCGGCATCGCGACGCTATCGGCACGTCCATCCCACTCCTGAACGCTGCCGCGAGTACGTCGGACGTCCGAACGAACCCGACGTTTCGGTTCGGACATCGCGGATTGTTTGGGTTGCGCGTATTTTGCGACGTTTCGGTGCCGATCGTGCGACTTCAGAAACTACGACGCATCTACAGGTGAGACGCGGTTTTAGATTTTGTATTTTTCGCCCGTAAAAGGTTTGCGGTCGTCGTAAAACTTAATCCGGTAATTTTTCCGAAGTCGATGTGACGAATCAAAGAACGGGGGAGTAAAATTTCTACTTTTAAGGATAGCGTCGTAAAACGGTTTGCCGTTTACGACCCGCAACGTACAAAGTTGGCTCGTCGTAGATATGAGAGCTCGCCCGTAAAATTGGGTAAATTTGGAATTCGCTTGTTTTTCCCAATTTTCTTCTCGACTTTTCGCCGATAACGTTTAACCTTCAGACGAGAAACCGATACCGTTCTGAGAAGTACAAAAAAAAGTGACGCCTTATCGACGGTAGAGAAGTTTTCAAGACATCAAAAGACGGCGCCTTAATAACGTCCCCAATCGGAAAACCGCCTACGGAGGCGCATTCTTCGAAATTCGACATCAAAGGTAAAAGATAAACTTCCCTAATTGGTGTTCGCGGTACGGATTTTCTTCGTCGCTCCCCGTTCTTTATCTACGTAGGGAGATTTAATAAGGCTTGGGTAAAGTTTTGGCGATCGCCGAAAGAAACAAGTTCCCATGGAAATATCTCATGCTCATATCGTCGTAATTTTATTCAGATTCGCGGCACGGATCATAAATCAAAAAGAAAGGCACAAAAAAGGGCGGGTTTACACCGAAACTTCCGGATTACCCGGGTATATATGTACGCCGCGCCAGCGTAAGTAACTTTCCCGATTTTGCTGCGATTCGCATATTTCACCGATATGTTCCGCCTCGATCCATTAAACCCGATGTTCTCGTGATTCTGCATAGATTAAAACCCTTCCGAGGAAACGGCTCAATATTTTCCAAGCTGCGAATAATGTGCAGATCGTAAGAGGGATGAACGATATAATTCGGAAGATTTCTTAACATCGCTGATTTTTTTTTTTTGGTTTTCGAATTTCGATTCAATTCTTCGCTACAAAAAATAAAAAAGCGTTTTGAAAACTAAAAATATTAACTCACGACCACATAGAAATACTTGCAATACAGATTCGTTAATGCCTGTATCGATGTTGTCTCTTGAACTACGTTTTGTAGCTGCCTTACTCGATAGTCATTTTGAATAAGAAGGCGATTAAACTTAGCAACATTCTTCTTCACTTTCGACAACTAATGGTGACGTTACGATCCTCTCCGATAACTCGTATCGCTTTTTAAATTTATTCTCTTAAGAATGAAAATCCTTTATATCTTTAAATTGTATAACTTTAGTATCCCTTAAAATGGGGGTCGACTCAAGCAGGAATTACAATTTCGAACATAAACAATAAATTTCGAACTTCTATGTTGTGGGCAAACCTGTTAGTTCCTTTACATGAAGAGGTCATTCACCGAAAACATTGGACAAGAATAATTGTAAAATTGATAAGATTGATTAAAATGGGTTACACATCTGTTTGTTATGATGGTTAATACTCTCTGGAACAAAGCAAATTAAATATAAGTAGATATGAAGCGAAGTGACTAAAGAATTTATAAGTAACGTACACTTCACTGACATTAAGTGATAAATTATCTCTAAGATTTATGTCGCAATGAGAACACTGCAGGAGCGACTCGAATTCCACAGCAGAACCCACCTGACATGAAAAGAGAATATTAATAAGAATTGTATTCAGTGTTACAATATTGAACCAACTGCAAATTTTTAACACACTTTTAATGGCGATTATTACATAGAAATTTTACTCATGTATTATACCAAAGTAATTCATTTTCTTTTCTGTTGATTTACTCCTTCTTATTCTTATTCATATACAGTTTTGTTATGACAACATTGGGTTTAAAATGATTGCAATGAATTGAAATGAAATTAATCTTAAGCAAACTCGAGTCCGTGATATTAAATAGAGACATTTTTAAGTTTGTCCCATCAAGCCAAACATGCAAACGTTTTTTTCCAAACAGAGGCAAATGAAATCGGTCCGCTGGGAGTTTTAAGCTCTCCGTAATTTCCCATCAGTAAATTCGTGCTGTTCCCTTGAAAGTTTTCCCTAAACTTGGCGTACATAATTAAATGAAACGCAACGTCTACGTAAATCAACTAAACTCGGTTCGGTCGTTTTGTTTAAAATAAAAAAAAAGACAAAGCTAAATCCCGTCGAAAACAAAGCGAAAATTTTATTTTGCCCTTACCCGTCGGATTACGGGGCATTATCCGAAAATACCTTGATGATCTCTTTATTCCGGTTCACTTTTTGTGCCATTTTTGGACCCGGGCGACCCCCGGCAAAACTCCACAGCTTTTCACTCGAATCTAATTTAAATGTCGTTATTTATGCAAAGCAAATTCATCGACGCCGACGTATAAATAATTTTTCGATACTTTTTCATTCGACCGGAGTTAATCGCTACGCTTTTTTGACGCTTTGATGACGTCGACATATATTTCACGTCTCAAGTGGAATATGTTAATAAACCATTGACAATTCTCCAGACGTTTGGCGACAAAACTCTTCAAGAGAAGGATACTGTTGAATTTGGAAGTAATGGTTGAGCTGGATCTCATTGAAGATACATGTTACCCTACAATAATTTAAGTATAAGTTCGATGACGCAAACTTTCAGGCGCCTAAGTAACTAAAGCATGATTTTTAAGTTTAAGGAACGAATGTCATTTACATCAAAGATATCCATTGTTCCTGCTAGAAGACACTCTCTTGCTTTCTTAAATATATGTATATGTTATTTGGGCTTCTTAAAAAACTGCGGTTTTCATCAGTGCCAGCAATTTTTTACAGAATCCTCCTCCTCTCATAAGGTTAGTGCAATAATATGTTTTATCCACTCCTTATTCAAAAATTGCCAATTATTCACGAATGGAACTTTAAGATGTCGTCTTCGTTACTCACGCACGAATCAATGCGGTACATTTCCGATACTCTAGTCACGGTTTGGCAACCATCACGTATATGTGAACTCACAAGTCATTCGGTGAGTATATTGGTGCTGTTTTCCAAAAATGTACCCAAAAACGAAAAAGTATAGTACTCCAACATATCGACAAACTTCTTCAGTCACGCGTTTATCAAGCTCTCTCTTCGTTTGAGTCACATTAAATTCGTAACTAAACTGTTTTCCAATAAGAGGTGTATTTTGATATTCAAAGAAAAATGGTATTTTCTGAGATAAATGATCAGGATGTTCATTTAAAGAAGAAGGTATGCCGTTAATAATGGAAAACATCCAAATAGCCACGTCGGCTACACTTGCAGGACCATATCCTTTTTATGAAAATTTTCCATCACCACCCAAATTTGCAGCATTTTTCTAGTGAATTTTAATAACTTTGTTGTATCGTGCCATTTTTATCAATGGCGTACTTTCTACTTGTCAAATGTCGAAAAATTACAGCTTCCAAAGTGACACCTAACGAAAACTCTTTATATTATATTTATTTATAAATATTAAATTTACCTGTGTTCAATATTCTTTGGTTTGGTATACTACTTAGTTTAAGTTTATTAGTAATCATACATATTTCGTGTGTAATACAGCGTGTGTTGAATCCTGTGCAAATTATGCAAAACATGTGCGAGTCTAGTGTATCTTAGGAGATGCACCCGCCCAAATGTAGAAAACACTATTCTATTGAGACTAGGGAAGTTATAAACAATGCTTATTTGACTCTCATTGAAAGTGGTGCCAGCAAGCAAGCATATTTAGAAGAAACAGCCACATTGACGGAAATTACAACAACAACGTATGGAAAATTGTGAATAATCCCCTTTCAGCGAGGAAAAAAAGGAAAAAAGGAGGAGGCTTGAAAAAAATGAAACCCGTGTTAAATGTGGCAGAACTACCTTATGGGTTTTAGATTTTAAAAAATTGACAAAAGGCAAGTTTTAATGGAATCTTTTAGAATTCGGAAATGGCGACTGGAATATCTATAAAAAATAGGATTTACAGAGAACAACAAAGGCCAATTATTTACTTGGATGAAACCTGGTTCGACACTTATGATACCCCGGAAAAGGGTTGGGTTGACTCAACTGATAAGTGTAAAACAAACGCGCCATCAAAAAGAGGTAAAAGAATAACTGTTTTGCATGCTGGCTCTAAAGATTGGTTGGATTCCAAATGGACTTTCTCTGTCTGTGAAAAATATTAAATATTCTTCTCTGGATTACCATGAAGACACCACCGCTGATTTAAAAATTATTTGTATTTTTTTTTATATTTAAACATAAATATATACATAAATAAATAAATATTGTTTAGTATCTAAGCAAAGTACGGACCTGTTTGGCTATATTTCATGCTTACAGCTTACCCGGGTCTTTCCTTAATTCGTATCAGTTAGTCACTTTCTTATATCTATGAACAGACTTTACCTTCTGAAAGGGTCCAACAGTTTTATTTGTTTACACTGGCCAGATGTTGGTCCCTACTCAAGTTTCTACCACTTTAAAACCAGGAGACAGGAGAAAAAACATACGCCCATTGTCTTTGGTACATAATCCTACGTGTTATGATGCCCATGTTCTCATAAAACGTCTAAAAGCGTCTGGTTGAACTGGGTATCAGTTAAAATTAATAAAAAATGTCCCAATCGGTGTTCCGATATTAAATTACATAAATTACGAAACGACAAAAGTGGCTCGACTCGGGTCACACCAATACAAATAATGCCGCCGACATAAACTAATAGAATTAATAGAAACCGGGGGTGTCAAGTGCACACCCTGCCGTCGGAGCGCGCGGCGGCGTCGGCGGCAAAACACCCTTGTTCTGCATTGATATTCGACACAGATAGGGGCAATAAATTCGACGGAGCTTTTAATTTAAACCTGATGGATTTCCGGTATTAGAATTTTCGATTGTATGTTTCGCGGCAATGTCGCGCGGGCTCGACTGATCCTAACTACGGCCAGAGATGAAAGATTAAGTGTGGGAAAATATGCGGTCGTTTGGTTTTTAATTAAACCCCATAACGGGCCTTTCCGGGTGAAAC